ATGTTGTTTATATTCTGGTTTATGAGGTTCATAATAGGAAGTAATTCTAATATATATTATATATGGAAGAACAAATCAACCGTTGATTTAGGTTTCAGAGGCCAATTCAATTTTTTGTTGCTACAATTCAGTTTTATGTTCTTCTTTGCTACTTTTTATTTATTAATTTTGTTTAGGAAAACTGAACACATCTCTTTTAAACCTTGAGTGGTTGAAATATGATAGGTGCTCAAACAAATTAGGCTTTGTCCAATCCTCTTTAAATTTCAGTGTTTTCCTTATAAGAAAAACTGGAAGCATCACTTCTCTTATGTCAAGAACCCCTTAACTCACAAAAATATTCTCTTTATGAGCCTGGTATAGGATTAATTGGTTCTTCTTCCATTTTTTAATTTGATGTTACCTGTAATAAACTTGTATATATCTCCTGACTTTTCCCAGGGTTTACAAATGGCCCAATGGATATAGCATTCTGACATAATTAGCTTTGTCTTTGAACAGTTTTAGCTTTGGCAAAGATAAAACAGCTTAAAGTCTTAGATTGGGAAGAAAAAATTTTAAATTTTAAATATTTAGAACATAATGATGTATAGAATCTCCTGCTTTCTGATAGGAGGAAGAGTGATTTTCCTGGTCTACAAGTAATAAAGTTATGGAGAGTTAATTGGTACTTTTGGGCACATTTACATAAAATTTAATTGCAAAACATAAGTGAAATCCTACCAAGGCCCTACACTAAAGCTCAAGGGAAGGGAAATGCTAGTCAGAGAATTGTCATCAGTAGAAGTTTTGTTGTTGTTGTTATTGTTTTTTTGTTTTGTTTTAAGATTTGATTTATTTATTTTAAAGAGAGAGGAGGTGAGCAGGGGGAGGAGCAGAGGGAGAGGGAGAGGGAGATAATCTCTAGCAGACACTGCTCTGAGTGCAGAGCCCCACATGGGGCTTGATCCCAGGACCCTGAAATAATGACCTGAGCTGAAACCAAGAATTGCACGCTTAACTGACTGAGCCACCCAGGTGCCCCCAGTAGAAGTTTTTAATAAATGCTACTATTTAGAATTTTTTTAAAATTTTTTATTTATTTAATTTTTTAGTAATCTCTACACCCAGTGGGGGGTTTGAACTCACCACTCCAAGAGCAAGAGTCACATACTCTTCTGACAGAACCAGCCAGGTGCCCCTAAAAGCTACTATTTTTAATGGGATAAATGCTACTTTGAGTTCTCTTAGCCCAATTTTGAATGATAGCTTATCCATCTACTTAAAAATAGATTATTTGTGGTTTTCTGAAAACTCCATAATTAAATCCATCAATAATTATTACCCTGTACTTCAGTAGCTCTATATTTAGCAAATTTTAACATTAATTACCATCCTTAAAATTTGAAATGTTGCATCTAGCATTTTAGGAACTGTGTATATTCTGTGTGTGCTTGTGTGTGTGTGTGTGCTTGTGTGTGTGTGTACTTGTGTGTGTGTGTGTTTGTAGTGTTTAGCTTCTAATAATGACTTATCCTTTGGGTAAATACCCAGTAGTGCAATTGCTGGATTGGAGGGTAGCTCTATTTTTAACTTTTTGAGGAAGCTCCATACTGTTTCCCAAAGTGGCTGCACCAGCTTGCATTCCCACCAACAGTGTAAGGGGGCTCCCCTTTCTCCATATTCTCGCCAACATCTGTTGTTTCTGTGTTGTTAATTTTAGCCGTTCTGACAGGTGTGAGGTGGTATCCCATTGTAGTTTTGATTTGTATTCTCCTGATGATGAGTGAGCATCTTTTCGGGTGTCTGTTAGCCATTTGTATATCTTGCTACCTTTCTTTATATTTGGTTCATTATCTCAACGCAGAACTTTGTTTTGAGGACACATATTTATCATGATAATAGTAAGTGGACTCCATATGAGAAGTTTTGGATAATTTTCTTCTTCCAGTTCTCTGAATATAGTAGGTGGATTTGTCCACAAAAGAACTGTAAGAGTTACATTATGATTTAAGAGTAACAAGAACAAGAGCAACAAAAACTTACACTATATTTTATATCTTGAAAACTATTTTTCACATACTTGATCTAATTTGATTCTCAGAACAATCTTGTGAAAGAGATATGATCCCCATTTTTTTGATGAAGAAACTGAGACCCTATATTTAGAGCTGTATAGGGCTAAGCAGCTTGCGTAGTCCAGATCCACTTGCCTCACTCCCAGGCCTTTTCCACATTAAGATGGGTTAACAGGGTGACTAATGGCAGCGTCTCTTTGAGATTGCTGAGAAAAACTGGAGAGGGCTGCCTAGGTGGCTCAGTCATTAAGCGTCTGCCTTCGGCTTAGGTCATGATCCCAGGGTCCTAGGATCGAGCCCTGCATCAGGCTCCCTGCTCTGTGGGAAGCCTGCTTCTCCCTCTCCCACTCCCTCTGCTTGTGTTCCCTCTCTCACTGTGTCTCTCTCTGTCAAATAAATAAATAAAATCTTAAAAAAAAAAAAAAGAAAAGCTGAAGAGAGGAATTTTCAAGGGAAAGAGCGGAAATGACAAGGTGGATGTCCATACTGGTGAAGGGACTGAATGATGTCATCAAGTGAGAGTTGGTCCACGATATGAATTTGATTCAATGTGTGGTCTCCAAATCGTTTTTTTTTTTTTTTTAATTTCTTAAGTAATCTCTATGCTCAATGTGGGACTCGAACTCACAACCCTGAGATAAGAATTGCATACTTTACCCACTGAGTCAGCCAGATACCTCTCTAAATCGTTTTTGGTCATATTAACTCTATTAGTCAAAAAACTGTGAGCATGCACACTCAATTTTTATTCATTTATAGAATATATACATATAATATATTAATTTATTTTATACTTTATACAACATAGACAAAAATAAATTTTAGATTAAGAAGATAAAAATAAAATAGTTCTGACATTTTTTTCTACACCTGTCATTTTCTACTGTGAAATATATAATTGACTCCTAGGTGCTCTCCAGTTGTTCTTTATAGCTCAGGAATCCTGTAACTTCTAACCCATGTTTGAATAATGCACTTTGGCTGAAGAACTTTTTTTCTATGTTACCTTATTTTCTGCAACTGCATTTTAAGCATTTATTCATTTGGGGTCATCTTAATGAGCTCTCCATAAATCTCACTACACATATTTTATATTTTCCAGAAAGATTCAGTTGCTTGTCTTATAATGTTCCATTGGAGACATCTAACTTAACCTTGAGCCTAGATAAATGTGTCTGGATCCAGAGCCAAATAGATGTCTAGCCAAAGCAGAAGATGTGCCATTGTGAGTGTCAACCACTGACGTACTTTGTCTAGACATGCAGTGTTTACATTTTATTTTCCCTGTGTTTGAGTATTTGGCAAATGCGTTCATTTATTTCACGTGTTTTATTTTGGGGATAAATATTTCTCGGATCTCATTTAACCTAAATACGCTGAAAGAAAAAAAAAGAGCAATTCCTTTACTGGTTTCTTTTGATTCAAATTCTAGGTTAATAGAGTGTTAAGAGATTGGAGAGTGTGACGTCTGAATTGAGTCTGATTTTTCCTTATACAAGGACAAAGACAATAGGTTGTAAGGATTTCCCTACCTTTCTTGGGAGATGCAACTTTTTAAAAACACATGCCAGGTGCCTCAGTGGCTCAGTTCTTAAGCGTCTGCCTCCGGCTCGGGTCATGGTCCCCGGGTCCTGGGATCCAGCCCCGCATCGGGCTCCCTGCTCCGCGGGAAGCCTGCTTCTCCCTCTCCCCCTCCCCCTGCTTGTGTTCCCTCTCTCGCTGTGTCTCTCTCT